TCAGAGAAGAGAGCCGAGTTGTGATGCATTTGGCCGCTGAACATCCTTCGCCGGTCCAAATTGAAGCCGGCAGCGCCTGTAATGATGCAGTAAACTCTCTGTTGGCAAAGCAGACTCTATTTAAGCTTTAAAAAAAAAAAAAAAGAAAAAACACACAGCCTTCTCCTCATTTCAGCACTAACTTAATAAATACATAAATAAATAAGACGGAATTAAAAAAGGCTGGGGTAGCCAACTTCACTCCCAGAAATTTTTTCTGGCAATGCTTGTCGAGCCGGCAGGCCCTGTGAGGGGAAAGATGAAGCCAAGGGGATGTGAGGCTGGGCCTGCAGCGTGGGAAGGCTTCCTCCTCTCTGATCTAACTCACAACTGCTCAGGAGGGGACACATGAACTAGAGTCTGGTGATGTTCACGTACCTGCCAAACTTCAGAGCATCAGAAATGTGTCAGCAACACATATGCGTACACTTGAATGCTTTATGTTTTCTCTGCTTGGTGTGACTGACACACAGTCGGTTATTCTAATGTGTGCAAATTGGTGATAATCTTCATCAGGACTTTTATGTTCTTGGCAGTTACTTTTATGCCATGCTGATACAGTTTGGCAGTATAATCAAAGTAGCCTTGGTTTTATTTTTCCCCACTGGTGAATAGGCAACAATAAAACAGAATATTACTACTCTCAAAGTTAAAAAGTATTGTCCTTTTGTTCAATCTTATCCCTGCAACATCCCGCTGGTTTCAAACTTGAAACACTCGTCACTTTGCACTCTGCATGGTAGCACATTCACAGCAAAACTGACAAAATGAAGCAAACGAATGACTATATGAAAAGCACTTTTATCTTTTTATCTCGCGCCTTTCACATGTGCCACGTGGAACGTAACCATAGTGAACGTAGTAAAATAAACAGGCAGTAAAACTTTGCTTTTGCCACAGTACACTTTGGTTTGCCCTGGTCGCCATAGTGACAGAGGGGTTGCAAAGTGAACCCTGCCATGTTGCACACGTGAGGAGAAGGGAGCTTATGAAAGAAGAATTTGCATTGAAACATAAGGTTAAATGAAGCGCATTGAGGCTCAGGCACGGTGAAAAAACAACCCTGTGACCCTCTCTTCATGGTCCTACATGAGGCCCACATTTCATTTGGACAGCCCAAGAACGAGAGCGAGACAGAAAGACAGGGAGAGAGGGAGATAAAGAGAGGAAAAGGAGGAGAGGAGGGGGAGAGTCTGTGCCTTTGCACTCCCCATTCTGCCCCCGCTCTCTATTTTTGTTTCCTTTTTTTGTGCACGCTCAACACACACACTCACAGTGCAATGGATTTTCAACTTGGCCCTCATCAGTTGTGCGCCTGATGAAACAAACACTGACAGCCTCTTTACATTTGTAAAGGCCCCTGCAGCAGCTGTGCTTGTCCCACACACACCATGCGTGCACACAAACATGCACTCACACACACACACAACCTTTGAATCAGAGGCCTAGCCCCAGCTGGGCCCTACAGGAAGAGCCGACTCTGCACAAAATGGCCCTGGCTGCATTGAGCTGCACTCTGCTGTGCTCTCCTGCTACTCTCGCTTACACGCATTCACAAACACACACACAGTGTGTGTCATGTTTCGTTAGACAGAACAACACTGCCACACATTAGCGCTTGATACCTCAGTCATTACGTAGCCTTTACCCCTCAACCACCGGCTTGAAAGGCAACGACAAAAAAAAGAAAATAAAGCTGCAAAAATTGGGTTTTCATCACAGAAACTGAAGCGAAAACAAAGTGTGCCCACCTTCTTCTGACACTCAACCTGAAATCAGTGACAATGCAACTTTGGGTGGAAAAAACTGACAGGGCAATTTGGCTCGTCTGTTTGGCTCTGTTGACACAAATGTTTATAATCCTAGTGGAAAATAATTATTGCCTTGCCTTGTTTGGTTTTATTAAGGACTCATCCCCCTTTTTTAAATCATTTTATGACCGACGACAGATTTTAATATCGCTCACAGATAGCGTGTGTTTGTTGGGTGCAGGAGGTGGGGGTGGAGGGGTAACAACTCACACTCATGTTTCAGGGGAAATGGTTAAGCCAAGCATGTATAATTGTCTTACGCTAATTAGGGGGAGGGTGGAGGGGGAGTAGAGAGAGGGGGGAGAGGGGAGGAGGAGGGGGACACTAAGGGCCAAGAGTCCTGTCTCAAAGCCTGAAGGGGGGGCCGGAGGATGTGGCCTCCTCCAGGTTATCACAAAAAAAAAAAAAATCACGTTTGTGAGCCTATTTTGGTCTGAACCAGACATTATGCATCAACTGCAGCTGCCGAAAACACATGACAGATGTGACACACATGCGCGTACACACACACACACACACACACACACACACACACTCAGGACAGAAACAAGCATCCTGCACACGGCCACACCGTTTCCCCCTCAGCCTTGATACTCCATCTCCAGTTCTAATTATACAACCAAGTTATGAATAGACTAAATAAAAAAAGCCCATCCAGTTATAGAAAGCGTGACGCTGCCGGCCACCGTAAGCTGGCAGGATTTTAAACAGGGACTTTTTTTGTTTTCTCGGTTAGTCATGATTTCTATTGTACATCCTGTTTCCTCAATTCAGGGAGAGACTGACAAACAAGTTGATTGGATCAAAAGCTTGTTATCTTTGCAATAATCACTCCACTTTTACAGTACACTGCAGAAAAGTACGAGTGGTTACAATGAATGTGACTGAAACTACTTGGTCACGGTCAGAGAAAGATCCCTGTCATTGATGAATACATAAAGTCACTACGAGAAGTTAACTGCAGCTGCGGAGTGCATCGAGTATAAATGTTACAAACCACTGAGCTGCGATGTACCACGTCAGAGCGACTTTCTCAGCTATTTCAAACATCTGTCTACTTTGAGAAGTTGCTTTCCAATAAATAAATGTTGATGCCAATGCGCTGCTGACACCGACGTCGCCCACAAGAAGTCAGATTTGTCGTCTTTCAAAACAAAACTCTGCACAGTGAAAAGAAAATTACTTTAAAAGTGGCAAATTAAAAGCTCAAGCTTTAATTGTTTTTCTATTTGTTCAGACTTTCAGCGGGCCTTGTGCAGCTATGAGGCAAATGGGGGGGGAAAAAAGTTCTTGAGGAAAATTGCAATTCAAACTAGTATGAATACTCATCCTGTGCTTTCGCTGCTCTTTAATTCTTTACACTTGTTGAGGGAAACATAAAAGCCCCACAGCTGAGTAAGGGGGAAATCTTGTGAACGCATGGCAACAAGCCCCCTTTGTGTTTGATTGTTCACTTGCTCACACAAACCTGTTGCTCAGTTTTGTTTGCAAAAAGAAAAAAAGAAAGAAAAAAAGAAAATGTCCCTCAAACACAAAACTAATGCGAGGAGATGGTTTGTTTTTGATGCATTCTGTTGCAAAAGAGTTTTTGGAGACACTGCACATGGTGAGGTAGGAGGGCAGCAGCAGCAGCAGCAGGAGGAGGAGGAGGGGGGAGGCTTAGGTCTGCTGACTTCAGCTTTGCAAGACATGAGATGCTTCGTGCAATTAAAAAAGCCAACAATGTGGTCCATGAGGTGCCTGACGAGAATTCACAGGACACGAAGAAGCGCAGCAAAACTTTAAAGCCCCGTGCAACAGAGGCCATGCGTGGACTTTAAAAAAAAGTGCGAATGTGCACAATTATTAACGCACCGGACCGAAGCTGCACGATTAAAGCCCAGAGTGGGCTCAAAGTATTCCGTTTCACAGGCCCCCCTTCCCCATAAATTCAGCAGTGTTACTTGCAGAAAGAAAATGGTCGCTTCATACATGAGCCTCTGCAATGCGACTGAACACAGCCTCCTTTAAAAAAAAAAAAAAAGAACAGAACAGAACAGAAAAGCTTGGATCGTGCAGAAAACACCCGAGCAGCGGTGCTGTTCAGTGTGAAATGTGGTGAGCTAAGCCCCCCCTTGTGCAAAAAAAAAAAAAAAAAAAAAATGGAGTTATCCCTCAGCTGCAATATCTGCTACGTTCACAGAGGTCACACGGAGACCTGCAGACGTACAGAGAGCCGGAGCGACTAGAAACGTGGTGCAGGAGTGAGTGGCTTTAATGGCCAGAGAGCAACAAACCCTCCGCACCGCTGCTGCTGTTGTTGTTGTTGTTGTTTTGTGTGTTTTCCCTCAAGTGCTGCTAAAATTGAATGAATATGCTGACCCCCTTTTCCCCCTCCTCCTGCTCTCACTCTTTATGGAGGAAAATTAAAGAGCCACAACAGTCCGCGAAACACGTCCCAGCCAGACAAAACACACACACATACACACTCACACACACACACCGACGAACAACTAAGCAGCACGAGCACCGAGAAGAACTGGGGCTGATGTGAGCTCGAGATACGAGCCCAGTTTGAGATGAAATGCTCAGCATGGGACGAAATGGAAGCCGAAATAGCTGAGCCATGGCCGACAGGCTCGTCTTCACGGCTCTGAATAGCGAAGAGAGAAACGAAGAGGAGGAGGGAGGGGAGAGAGAGAGAGAGAGCAAAAAAAAAAGCGAACAAAAGCCTCTTCTTTTTTTTTCTCCTAGAAACTGTGTGCTTTTAATTTCAAACCCCCCCTTTATGGCTTTATAAACACCGCAGCAGCAGCAGGGACGTGCTAGCATCTCAGCCCCCGAAAAAAACGAGTGGAAACGAGCGAAATAAAAGCCCTCCAGCTCGGTGCTCAAATCGCTTAAAACATGTCTGATGTGGGAGAAACGTTGCAACACAGACGCTGAATAAACATTGCTGTCTCTTTAAATGGACAAAACATGTAATGTGGAACAAGTTAAAGCGGCGACGTTTTTAGCAGGATATCGGTGCTAAATAGCGCACAGGGCTGCCCGGTGGTAACCTTCACCCGATGAAAGTTTACGCATTTTCATCGAGGCGAAACTTGAATAGAGCGGCTGCCGTTTTTGTTGGAGGAGGGAAAAAAATGCAAAAGAATAAATTGTACTTACGTATTTCTTTTGAATGATATTCCTCTTAGGTCTTTCCTTGCTCATTATGCAATCCCACCAAAAAAGAAATGTTTGGCTATAGAGAGAATGGCCACATGAATGTCTTTTCTTTGACTCTCGCCTCTCCCGGAGCTCCACCAACCAAACGACGATTTAAATCCCCGGCTCTGTAAAGGAAAAGCTTGCTGGCTTTGCAGAATCCTCCCTCGGTGTGTGTGTGTGTGTTTTTTTTTCTCTCTCTCTCTCTCTCTCGCTCTCTCTCTCTCTCTCCTTCGTCTTCTTAAAGTATTCGGATATAAATCCCACCAAAAAAAATAATAATAATAAACTCAAGGGTCGACGACGAGCAGAGACGGACTGAAGCCAAACTCACTTGGGGATAACATAGTCAAAGCACAACAATAAGTTCCATTCGCCCGAACAGCTCGGCTTCTCGTCTCTGCGCACTCACTCCCGGCTCTTTTCAAATGCATGAATATGGTTGAGGTGATGTCAACGCGTTACATCTTGCTTGAGGCGAGGACACGGCGAGGAAAGGAATAAATAAAATTAAAAAACAAAACATTAGGTGTCTTCTTCTTGTTCTCTCTCTGTCTGTCTGTCTCTCGCTGTCTTTTCTCTTCTTCTTTTTTCTTCTGGCTGGAGCCTGCGGTCGTCGGTAGAGCTCTCCAGCGGCACTGCTCTGCTGACTGAGAGCAGCTCCTTTCTTCCCCCATGCCTCCGCCTCTCGGCCTATCACGTCCTGCAAGCACGCAGCGGCAACTTCAAAATCCCACCGAGACGGCCCCAAAACAAGCAAACAGCGGCGGATGACCCCCGTAGCATGCTCCTTTAAGGTGTCGGTGGTTATTCCAACACGCCGGGGATCTTAAAAATGATGCCATCCGTGTTCTTGTTACGGATTTGCAGCAGGTTTGCGCAGGAGATTTACGGTGATGTTGGTCTGGATGGTGCGTTTTAACTCTTGTTATGTTAGTTTTGAAGGTGCCATTTCAAGAAAACATGCAAAATCACAGTGTAGTGTTATTACTTCAGCATGCTGCTATGAGTGGAGATCTTCTGCGGGCCTTAATCCTAAATCCAATTGTAAAAAAAAATCTGATTTCCTTGCATGATTGTTAATATGTTGTATTTATGCCATAGTTTCATTTTTGTCTTTTAAATCCCCTCCTATTACCTTTAAATTTACTGACATCTTCTCTCCTCGGGTTCAATTTGACCCCAGCTATTTAAACCTCCAGAAAATATCCTAATTAAAATGTTTGTTTAAATAGCCCTTTAAATAAAACTTTAAAAAATTATGTCATTGACTTATTTAGAGATGTGAAACATTGAATGAGAAAGATAATAGGAGTGTTATATCCTACTATTACCAGAGAGCTGAAGAGTTTTCATTTTCTTTAACTGTCTTTTATTTTATTTCTTATATCTTTTTACTGTTCCTACTCTGGAAAGGCATTTTATAGGTCTTGTATTTATTATATTTTTTAAGCATTTTCTGGTTTTTATATAAATCTGTTTTTTAAATCGATGACTCATTTGTGGCTGATGTAAAACACTAGCACATGCTTTACAAGTGCTATATGAATAACATTTACTGTTATTATTATTATTTTCACTCTTAGAATAGACTACAGGGGACAAAAAAAGGTAGGGGTTCCCAAATGTCTATGTAAATGACTGCCCCAACCCCCACTCCAAACCACACCACCGCAACTTCCCCCGAAGCACGTGGTTGAACATTAAAGCACAGGCTTGCATTTTGTTTTGAAATGTTGTGTTTTAAAGGCGCCATGTTGTGCTTTGAAGGACCCATATGAGGAAAAAATCTTTTTATTTTGTTTTGTGGTTTTTAGAAAGTTGGAAGTGTGAAATAAAAGCTAGTAAAATATGAAGACGTTTACTTCTGCTGTTTCTCCTGCATTCCTCATAATTAATGGACCAATGCATGGTTTCCTTGCTTAAGTCCAATTCACGGTGTCTGTGTCCGTGCAACAGGCCAATAAACAGACCGTGGATGAGGTTCTGTTCATACAATAGCACCGCGTTGGTCTGCTACATGGTCAGCTGCATTTCCTCTTATACGAGGTGTGTCAGAAAAGTTCCAGGACTGGTGTCACCCAAGATATATTTCAAATACAAACTACAAGTTTTCCCCTTCCAAGTAATCCCCCTGGAGTCCAACCCACTTCCCCAGCCTTCTCTACCACCATGCACTCCTGGAAGGATTCTTCCTGGATCTTCCACAGCTCCGTCGACACAGCCATCTTGATGTCGTCCATGTCCTCAAATGATGACCCCCTGGAGCTTGGGGAAGAGGAAATAATCCCACGGAGCCAGGTGGGGTGATTAGGGAGGCTGCTCCAGCACAGAGATGTTCTTCTCAGCCAGGAACTGTTGAATGCTCAGGGCGTTGTGAGCAGACGCATTGTCATGGTGAAGCAGCCACCACTTGTCCTGCAACAACTCTCGCCTCTTCTCACGCACTGAACGCAACAAACGCCGCAAGATCTCTTTGTAGACAGGCTGGTTGATCATCTGAGGGGGAAAACTCGTAGTTTGTAGTTTGGGTTTGAAATACATCTTTTGTGAAGCCCGTCCTGGAACTTTTCTGACACCTCGAATTGAACACAGACAAACACAAGAGTAAACAACATCTGGTTACAGACTGGGCTGTATGTCAGTGATTATTCCTGAGGTGTACAGAGCACAGTTAGCAGATACAGCACAGGACTTCTACAGAAATTAGGACTTCCTACATTGTTTGGGCTCCATTGACGGAAAGTACAAATCAAAGCTCCTGCAAAGTCCTGCAGTGACTACTTCAGTTACAACTCTTTAAATGCTAAAAGTGTGTATGATGGAGAATCTACTTGTACAGTCTCTCCTCATATTAAACATTTGTTTTAAGTACTACTTGTTTTTGGTACACATTTGGTGGTGTGCTTATCATGCAGATAACGCACAGTTAAAAGTTTTGGGCTGGACGGATCCTCGCAAACTTGAACAGATGACGAAATTTACGTGAGGCGGACTCTTGCAGACGCAGTGAGCATTTATTGACACCAAACTAACCAATAGCCATCATGCAGACAGTGTGTTCTTCCTGAAGGGGGCGGGAACAGCAGCAGCTTTTATGGTTAAACCGCCAGCTTACCCTAAAACTAGAGCTTATGCAGTCAATGTATGCTGAAAAGCAACAAAACAGGAGCCCTTTAAGGAACCTTTCATATAGTTTTACACATAAAACTTTTGCATAGTTTTGTGTGGCACATTTCAAAGCGAGTAGTGTTACCTTTAATTCATTTTGCTCACACTGAATGGATCACTATGTTGTCACAGCGTCCATCAAGGAATAAATGATTTAGAAAGACATTTAGGTCTTATTAATTTAATCCAAATGCATGGAAATGGATGCGCATGTGGACTCATATGCATATTTGCTCATATAATCATGCTTTTGTGTGATCCACTCTGACTGTTAGCGGACTGCTTGTCCTCATCCCCCTCACTAGGAGTGGGCTTGCTGTGTCATTACTCTAATGTACTGAGTGGGTCGGTTGCTCTGCTTGAACCCTGGAGGTAGTTAAAGGTAATGTGTGCGTGTTTGTGTGCGCGTGTATGTGTGTGTGTGTGTAGCATTAAGATACAGTTACAGCCTTGTCTCGAAGGTATGACTTTGAAGAGGGCTCTAACTCTAACTTAATGTTTCTTCTTGAACTAGCTTGTGATTCTTTGATGACCAGAACTAGTTAACTGAGACTGTTGGTCCAGAATGAAATATTTCAGCTTATTGAATGGGTCTCAGTGACTTGGTGATGATTTTTTTCCTGTAAAGTCACTGAGAGGTTGACATTTTTTAAAATTTTGTCGACACAACTTTTTGATGGATTTCGTTGAAATCAGTTTCACATATCCATTAGTATTGACTATTATCTCATCATACAATCAGTGGACTGGTACATAGTTTGGTGCAGACAATCATAGTCTCCACATGATGCATAATAAGTAATTCACTTTTTTTCCCTCTAGTGCCACCAAAACACCCATCTAGCGCCATCATCAGGTCAAACTGTTGATTTATTCGGGGTTTTAGTTGATCAATTAATTCATTCACTTTTTAGTCCATACGTGCTTGATGATTTACATCTAGGTGTTCATGCACATTACTGCAGAGCCTGTACACGACTGACATGCCATAGTTGCCATGCAGACACATACTTTGGGTTGCATAGGAACGAGTGGTGTATGCAGACTTTCGCAGACTTTAGGAGATAAAAAAAATTGTATTTATGCAAACTCTAGCCAACCCTTGAGTACTTGCGGATACGTAACAACGGCTAAACCAAGCTGCTAGTGTGCTGGCAATCTCTTGTATGGTCGAGTCTTTTAGTTTTGAGCAAAGTTTCAGCAAGCACAATCTGTTTTATAAGCTGGTGTCTGAATATTTGCAAAGGCATATCCATGTGGGCTATCTGGGTTGAGTCAGGTGGTATACTGGAAGGGGTTTGGACTGTGTAGGCAATGTCACCTCACAATTACCATCATAATTCAACATTATCAAGGAAGACAATGATTGCATTTTACAACTGCTGCAAAGTTTTACTACACTTTCATCTAAAGGTACTTCTTTATTGGTGTGAGGATGCTAAACCCCCTCAAGCATCCCTGTAGAACTTGTCCATCACAGCACACACTTGGTCCCACTGGGTGAAATCCTGGGGTTGACTTTGATCAGATCGACCACAAACATCAAAATGTCCAGAAACACACTGATTTAAATTTACATTCACAACTCTAGGCAATTTTGAGTTTCCTACTCTTGTTACTGGTCTTATCCCTGTCAAAGGAAACCAGAGTAGAGGAATGACTCAGAAAAGCTAAAAGAAGATTCAGCATCTCCCCAAATCCCTAAAAGCTGGACTATAATCAATCACTCCCAGCCATGTAATCATGCTGATTTCATTATCATTCATGTAACGAGGAGGAACTATTGATTCCTCTTCTGTGTTTGATGTAGATTTAGCATAAGGCACCAAATGATCAAAGCACCGAACTTACCCATGAATGCATGAACAAAGACGCCAAATCAATAGTTCACGGGTCAATAATTCTAAGCATGGCTTGCAGATGACATGATATTTATGTAGCCCCCCCGCCCCATTAGGTTATGTTGAGAGTCGTATAAAAACAGAACACCAAAGAAACATCAAGATAGCAATCGATAGAACAGTGAGTGTGAATGAAAACCTGCAGATTTGAACAAGGGAGAATGGCACACAGTTTAAATTATTGCAGATCATATACAAAAACTCCTTTTCAGGTAAATCTATGGTGTGTTTATATATCAGAAAATAGCACAAATCCCCTTTCTCTTAATCAATGACGTCTTGTCCTTTGACAGTGTCAGAGTCAAGCGTGCTATTTCGAGCCGAGGCCGTGGAAAACACTGCCTTTAGCTCCCATCACCCTGCGCTCTCGGGGGGTTTAACCAGGGTCTTCTGCCCTGCTGGTGCTGACATTTAGGCCCACATGAATCAATGAGACAAGCTGTGGAGGGATGCCTGAATTTCACAGCGGCCCCCCTCACAGTTCACATTTAGCCCACGCTATGTAGAGGCAGAAGGGTTGTGGGGGTCTTGGAGGCATT